ACTTTCGTCTCACCTGGTTCTGCAGCAGGGCCTTTCCTCCCTGTTTACTGAGATTGGTTGCTCCCTGAGCTGTGGTTTTCTTGATGTCTTAGGCCTGAGAGTCCCCTGCCAAATCAGGGTTGGGACTCAACCCAGGAGCTGGGTTTTGGTTCTATAGCAGGTATGGTGGGCCTCCCTGCTTAGATGGAACTGTGCCAGCTGGCCCTGTTTGTAAGAGAGACCAAGGTGAATCAGCGTGATTTGCCAGAATTTTGGTGATGAGAATGAAAGTGTTGGAGCTGGTCTCAGTATGGAGTTGTTTCTGTAAGCACGTTTGTCTTTGGTGGCAACAACACAGTGCAGGACATGGAGGAAAGAAATGGGACTTTGGGGCATTGGAAGAACTTTCCATGGCCACCAACCAGTACCTTTCACACCACTGTGTTAATGTAGGTATTAAAGGAAAGAAAACAAATGTTTTGCATTACTTCAACAGCATTTGTCTGCTGGACTTCAGCTACGCCTCCAAGCCATCCAGAGCAGTGTCAACCACCACAGCCTAAGGATGTTACAGGGTTCAGGACAAATGAACAATAGCTCGTCTGTGCTCCGCAAATGGCTACAGTGTACCCAGTTTAAAATGGCTCAAGTGGAAATCCAGTCATCAGAAGCTGCATCTCAATTTTATCCTTTATGATTCATGTAATTTGTTCCAAATGTTCATTTTTAGCCTAGCAATAACAGGGTTAGAGCTGTAAAAGACCTTTTGTATAAATCAGTATACAGAGTATATACTGTATCTATACTTTTTAGCCTAGGACAGATTGTGGAAAAGCTTATCATGGGTGAAGCTAAGAACCTGATCCTGCCAGTCTTTGATTACACTTACTCCGGATCAGCAGGTTCTCACGTCTGCATTCATGACCGTGTAGTTGCCGGGTTGGACTCACATCTATCACACTGTACATATCTCTCTGATCATTCAAATACCTTGTTCTTAAATGTTTCTTTACATTATTTTTGAAGCTAAGACAAAAATCACTTTTCTTTAACTTCTATTTTTTTTTTAAATAGAATTGTGGGTATTCACAAACATATGGAAGTGCTATGTTGCTATTTTTTGATGATAACAAAAGAAAACAGTCTTTTTAGGAACCTTTGTAGGAGTTTTTTTGGAGGTGTCTTTTTTTTTTTTAGATTCACAGCTGGCAATGCAATAAAACCTGTCACTATAAAACAGTGATGTTCTAATGAGGCTTTTTGTCATCATCTTCTGGGAAAACAGCAGCTTGTAAGGAGAGTTATTATAAAGTGCACTTAGAAATTAGGTTGTTAAACTGTGCCAATTAATTTGCCTTTTTCTTCAGTACTGTTTTCCAAATCTGCCAAGTCTGAGTTACTATTTTTTGAAACACTGCTTTTATTTTGTTGATTCTGTGCTGCTGCTCTTTGTAGGTTTCATAGAAGCCTCTAATTTTGTGACTACTGTATTGTATTCTTCTGTCAATACTTGCATACAGTGCAATTAAAAATTGATAACCCAGACCTATTTCTTATTGATTTCTACAGAAATTATGTTGCAGATTTCAAGAGGAGCGTGATTGGACCTGAACTTTTGCATAATGATATTTACAAATCACAGCATTTGCATACCATTGTATTAAACATGATGTTTAATAACAGATGGGTTTCAGTATTATTAAGGGACTCAGCCAAAGCCCACTGGAAGCTAAGGAGACTCAATTAATTCAGTGGATTTTACATAAAATCCTGAGAGTGCCATGATTTACCAGCTCTTGTAACTAATACTTAAATCTGTGCAATCACAGTTGTATTTTCTGTATTTATTCATGTAATGCACTGATTAGAAGAGTAACAAACACACATTTAAGTTGTGTATTAGAATGCTATTAAATTCCTAGTGTTTTATTACCACTCTCAGAATCAACATTTTTCCTCCTTGATTGTGTAGAAGTGGAAAAACATACCTGAGAAGAACCGCCTCAGTAAATTTCAGTAAATTTCAGTTGTTGTGGATGGTCAGTCTTTCCTCAATGTATTTACTAAAGAAAAAGTGGAAATGTTTGCGGATATAACATTAAAGTTCTATTGTGCTTCAAAAACAAACAAAGAAAAAAAGAACCCCAACCAACCAACCAAAAACTAAACAACTAAACAAAAGACAGAAGCTCTTCTTCTTGTCTTTGACATCCATTGCCAGGTTCAAATCCTGCCAGCCTTTACCTTTCCTAACTTATCCCTGGATGATTGGACAATGTCTCTGTGTTCCTTCCAGGATACTCATCATTGCTTCCACTCTCTGTATGCTTCCTTTCTGAGTTTGAGTTTGGTCAGGAGCTCTGTGTTTATCCGCACAGGTCTCTTGGCTTTTTTTCCTGACTTCCAACTCACTGGGATGGATTGCTCTTGAGTTTGGAGGAGGTTACCCTTGAATATTAACCAACATTCTTGGGTTCTTCTTTCCTCCAGCTCCTTATCCCATGGGACTCTTCTAAGCAGATTTTTGAAGATGCCAAAGTGTGCTCTCCTGAAGTCTAGGGCCCCTTGCCCCGCCCCCCCCCCCAATAAAAGCAGATGCAAGGTTGGGTAGTTATTAAGCCAAAACCAGACCTGTGGGAATTTAGATCTGGTTTCAGCTCAGGGTTTAGAGATAAAAGCTGTTCAGACCCTACCTCCATACGTGAACATAGGGTTTAGGATGCATCAGTCACCAGTTATAACTAACACAGCTCTTACAGTGCTCTTAACGTAGGCAAATGAAGACTGTAAATATGAACTTAGAAGCTGCTTTAACATAGGGAATACAGCCTGGATGAGGGTATGAATGATGATTATGGATATGTTGACTAATAATAAATAACATGGAGCTTATCCAGATGTGCGTGGTTTAACACCTCATGGAAATCATTAAGTGCACTCTAGGCATCTTCCAAAGTACGAATATCTGCACGGATTGCTTTTAAAAGCACTGTAAAATATATCTTTGTGGTGCCTGAGGTCAGTATACCACTCAAGTGAGTCACTCGTTGCTCTGAAATAGCCCAGAGCAGCAATTCTTTATATTCTGTAAGAAGATTAGAAAGTAAACAGCATTCGCTGCTCTCTGAAAATGCTACCAAATAGCAGAGGCCGATCTTCCTGCTCTGCCATGCTCCCAGCACGGCTGTGTCTCTGAGGATGTGTCACCAGGAGCAGAATCCCGCTTCTCTCTGATCCTACAGAGCTCCCATTTCGGAACAGTGTTCAGTCATCTGTTGCGATAAGCTGCTTAAATCAAGGCCTGTTACCAGGCCTGACCCAGTAAGAGAATGAATTTACTGTGTGCTGAACTGTGAAATTTTCAACAACACGGGGCACTTCGGCTGAAGCAACGACGAAAACCCCACACGCCGTGGTGCGTCGTACTGCTGGATTACGTAACGCGGTGTCCTGAGAGCGAGGTTAACATCTACGCTGGGCACCTCAGGGTGCTTTCCTGCTGCCTACTGAGAAAGCCGCTCTCTGAGCTATGCGCGGGGCCGCACAAACAAAAGGCTTTTGCGGCACGTCAGTTACTATCTACATACGTGCTTTATCTTGTACGTAGCATTTCTGTGACATCTCGTTAGAGCCGCGGCAGGGTCAAAGGCCCTACAAACACACAGTCAGTTTTCTGGCTGTTTCTCATGCTATGACAGGACTCAATGTGCTTTAGGACTGATGAATGTTCTGGGCCCGAAGATCTCTCTGAACTCTGGCCTGCACGGCCTCCTTTCAAACTGGATGAAGATTACCAGAGCCCAGGGCTGTTTAGTCTTTGTTTAGTGTGTTCTGGAAAAGAGCTCTGCAGCAAAGGTTCCTGCGCTGTTCCCCCAGCTGCACACCGCCCTGGGAGAGCTTCATCCACAATTTTTATGGTTGTATCTTAACGTGACTCTTCAGCAGTGCCAAAGTCTATACTCTGTCAGTCAGATCTGAATCTTGATTGCATGAGGGCCGTTCAGTCAACGACGTGGGTCTTTTAGCAATCTGCCTGAAATCAGGTGGAGGCAACAGCATTACAGTTGGCTTAAAGTTGACATGCTGTTGGTTTGGCTTGATGAAAATTTGAAAGGAAGGGCTCTGCATTTGGCTGTTGATTTATAACTCTGAATTACTCCATTCACTCTTGCCTCTCCCTGCTGAGCACAATTTCAGCTGGAGGCTGAGCATCAAGGGAATGGCAGTGAGACTAGCAGTTGGAGGGGAAGGTGCCCTGATGCCTCTCCAGCTGCAAAGGGAGTGAGCAGAGAACCTGAATCCACCCTTGGCATCAGCCCCACCAGTGCTTGCTGCTGGACAGCCGGGGCCCCCCCTTGGAAATGCCTTGGTTCAGGTAACAGAAGGCCAGGTGAGGATGAGGCCTGGGCAGCCTGGTGAGCTGCTGTGGTGCCTAAATCCCACAGCTGGGAACATGGGGGGTTGTGAGCTGTCGCTGAGTGTGGTCTGTGTATCGTAACTCGTGTGCAAGGAGCAGGCGGTTGTGAAGAGCTGGCAGTGCTTGGGAAGGGTGGCTGGTTTCTCATTCATAGTTGCAAAGCCTTAACATGGAAAAGCAGAACCCACGACGCAGTCACTGGAAGTCTGCATCATGAATTACCTCCCAGCATTTAGCTGGATTTGATAGATACCACAGGGCTGCCAGCTGAGGGTGAGCAGCCTCCTGTGCACCGCCCCAGGTAACCTACTCTGACATTGCGTTTAACCAGCGCCCCATCAAACCTGACAAGCCATGACTGTGAGCCGGGAGGCTCGATGTTTGATAGACACAACGTAATGCTAGGCCAGTGTTCTCAATGTATAATTCAGCAACAGGGCAACATAACTGTTACGGCTGGTTTACTATTTTAAAGCCTTTCAGAAAGGTAGAACAGCACGCCTGTGAAGTTTTACACACAGAATAAAAATTTTATAGGTAATCCTCTCTTTAGGCAGGTTAGCTTTTCTGGCAGCTCCGTGGCTTTCATGTGAAGTGGAATTGAGTGCAGTGAAGTTCTTTACAAGAGCTTTTCTAAGCCTGTGAATCTTTGCCACGCAGCAAGACATCAGTAAAACAGAACATAAAGGACCATCATTAAAAGAAATACATAATTCATTAAAACTGTTACCCATTTTGCACTACTGAGGAAATCCTGTCTACACGGTGTTGATTAGTGAGACACAAAGCAAGAAGCAAAGTACAAGCTGCCAGACAGGTACTGTAATCTGAGGAAAGGCACAGTTTATATCTGTCCAGGGTCAAACCCCATATTTATGGTGCAGAAGGATTGATACTGTGAAGCAACCGAGCACTGGAGCAATAGGCATTTGTGGTGCTAGTTGACAGCAGGGAGGTGTCAGTTTGAACTGCTAAACTGATGCAGCCACAATTTGGTTTTCTTCCTACAGATATATTCATTCAACACCAGGTTTTGCCAGCATTGCACAATCAAGCCAACAGTGAAGGTTTTTTTCTTTGGCCTTGTGGGGATGGTGGCACATCTCCTTTGTTCTTACTTCTTCAATTTGCTCTGATACTACACACCTCAGAGCTCAGCATCGTGCTAAATCATCTTAGTGCTCCAGTAGCTGCAGCTCCTCTTTTGCTCAGGAGATCATTTAACTGTACCACACCAGAGCATTTTTCAGCCTCCCAGTAACATCTAAAATGCTGCTGGTGTTTCCCTCCCAGTGATCGCCACCATGAAGACACCGACCTGGTTCAAATACGAGATGCTCGTCTGCTCTAAGTGTGTGTCACTCAATAATAATAGCCCAGACGTGTTTCCAAGCTTCCCTAGCAAGAGTGAGAGGGCCAGACAGATCATTTTACCAACTGATATGCTTAAGCCAGCTTTCAAATTTAAAACCATTTCCTCCCTTTTCCTTGCACCAGACATCCATAGCTCAGTCCCAAAAACTTCTCTGCCTGGATTCCGGTCAGAAATTTCTCAGCTCACCTGTAACGATTCTTTAAGATCCACTGAAAGTTGTCAGCATGATGAAAGCCATACAAGCCAGG